TATTATACTTTTTTTTAAATTCCGCGCTGTTTAAATGGCGTAATAGGTGATCAAATTTGCGCTAACGCACTTTGGGGGCGACAGGTCGTCACTATTATTATATAAACAATTTGAATGATAATTTGTTTTAACGTAGTTTTCACTGATGAAACACTTGTATTAAACATTTTACACACAAGAACGAGGGAGATAGCAATGAAAACTCACCGTAAGATGAAATTGTAAATGAAAATAAACACTAGGTTTATTCCAAAAATAAAGTCACGATATCACCAAGGTCGTAACATTCACGAATAGGATAATTATTATATTAGTAGGTTATATTGTGGTCAATTTTACTAAACGTGTAAATTATATTATTGCGGTTATTATTATATACTTTGTACATCATCATCTAGCCTGCCTGATCCTACGGGAGTAGGGTCGGCGCACCGGGTTTTCCTCCTCCAAATAACTCTATCAACCATCATCTCAGGCATCATTCCCATCTTGATCATGTCACCTTTCACGCAATCCATCCATCTCTTTCTAGGTCTACCTCTACCGGTGTACCCCTCTACATTCATAACTAACGACCTTCTTGTTACATGCGATTCATCCCTTCTCATAACATGCCCATACCACGCTAACCTTTTATTCCTTATTTTCACAACCACTAGGGCTACTCTCAAACTTCCTCTAATATACTAATTTCGTATCTTATCCATTCGTGTTACCCCACACATCCATCTTAACATTCGCATTTCCGCCACATGTATTCTCCTTTCATCCGTCCCTTTTACTGCCCTTATACTTTATACATATACTAGCTTTCGCCCGCGACTCCGTCCGCGCGGATTAAATAAAAAACAAATGCGAGTAGCCTATGTGTTCTTCCAGACTATCCTCTACATCTGTACCAAATTTCATCGAGATCCCTTCAGCCGTTTAGACTACAAACTCTAACAAACATCCATCCATCCATCCATACATCTATCCATCCATCTAAACTTTTGCATTTATTATATTAGTATAATTTGAAATTGAAGAATATAAATATAGAAGAACATGCGTTAGTTAAAGCCCTCTTTTCAATCGAGACATTATGGCGTCGGGTAATTTATACTGTTATCGATGTGTATGTAGTCATTTACTGAGCTTGTATGTAATTACACCCACTACTTGTACACATAGAGTAATTATATAGGCTTCAAGTGGTACTTAATAGTGAGAATGACTTTTCTAACATAGCTCAAGTATACGTAAATATTTCAATTACATCTAAGGTATTGTTTTAACTTTTATTTCTCTATTTCGCAATTATACTCTTCTATTTGAATTAAGTCAATTTTATTAACTGTTTAGACCTTTCTAATATTTACAGTTTTTAATGTTTTACAAAATCTCAGTGTAATAAACCTCTGTTTACTCCATTATAGTATTAAGCTTGAATGTAATGCGTAAGTCATTTGCGACGACGGGTGTGTGACCGATAGCGGGGTCATTGCCCTCTTTTATCAGCCGAGCAATGCGTATGCACCGATCTCGTTTTCACGCATTTCAGTATAAGGTGAGGGATTTAATTGTTACATGAACGATTGCTACGTGACATAAATAGCGTGCTGTTTACTTACTGTGTAGCTGAGTAGCTCTGTCATTGTTCACAATACTCATCTTTTGCGCACAATTTAAAATATGTTGCATGTCCCTTTTAATTTTCAACGCACTATTGTTTAGTCATTATGAAGTTCCACTTTATGCTTACTTTCGTGAATCAGTTAAGTTTTTTGTACCAAGAAGGAAGTAAATAGCAAGTGCTAGTTTTAAGTAGATTCTCTTGAGAATTCAGAAATCCTGATAGATCTACGCATATGTATGAATAAGTAATCTTAGTAATTATACTTTGGCGCAAACACTCTAATGATTGATCAATATCAAGCCAAAGTCTACTTTCCACTTTTATTTCTTTTTTTACATAAATTACGGTATTATTCCTTAAAATACTTCCCGAAAGTTCCGTTTACGTTGGGTAACAATTTAATATTACTTTTTGTGAATTTTATGCAGTATTTTTAATAACATTCTATAGTTTCCTCAAAGGCCGGTACGCATCTGTATTTCCTCGGGTGTTGCGGATGTCCATGTGCGTCGTTGACCACCTCTGTGTTCCCGCCGCTCGTTTGCCCCCTCCCCTTTAAAAAATAGTATAGTAATGTAAACAATACTGAGATAATTAGCAACGCCCTTGTATTGGATGGATCACTCCATGTATCGTTTACTTTGTACATTTAAAACTAAACAGCTAATGTAAAGTGCAAACAGTCGCGAACGTATGACCACAGCGTCTATAATGAAGTGTCATTAACCTTACCAGCATATTTGTCACTTACATTAAGTTTACTGCCGAAACACTTGTACAAAAACTATTATTTTCTCACTCTTTTTCTTTAAAAAAATACAGACAATATGATTTTGTACAAGTACATAATACAGTATACAGTTTTGAATAGGTTTTGTAAAGTGAAAACTTGTTACATACAGATAAATTGTTATTTTACGTCCGATAAACTAAAAAAAACTAATGTCTTCATTTTCATTAAAGATTTCGTCATGGAGTTATTTACGTAACTTACTTCGTGTATATTTTTTTTATCTTAAAATATTAAATTAGTGAATCTGTGAAAGGTAATTTGTGTATTAAAGCAAATAGTATGGCGAAAAATTTGTAAATTCTATATTTCATGATCTAGATGAAATTATATTATTTGTAAGGTACATGTGGTGGATGTGGTAAACAGGGTTAATCGATGAGTAGGAGTTACAGAGAAAATCTGAAGTCGATAAGATTTTTTTCGAAACAGTTTGTTATGTAGTTTTATTCTTGTAGTAGATTAGTTTATTAACATTTGCCCTTAGTTTAGGCACAAGCAATTATTTCTAAAAGTGTAACGATTTGCAAATCATTAATTTGACAGGCGCATGAAACACTGTACTTGACGTTTTACAACTATTAAATTAAATGCGAAGTAAGGTCATCTAAAAAAATAGAAAGAAGGAAACGGAAATTTTAAAAGTTTGAAGATTTATTTTATTTTTTATTACTTTAAATTTTTTTAGCACATTACTCAGTTTCAATAAATGTAAAAACCTTGTTTTTAATGTTGCCAATGAACTGAGTTTTACACAAATAGTTAATTTTTAACAAGTAACCTTGTAGGTTGTTGAACCATGTTTATTTTCTTTAAAATAATTAAAAATGTTGGCGTGATCACGATTATTTTTTACAATATAAAAGTGACTAAAAATAATAATAGAATAATTTAATATTCGTGAATTAGATAACAAACAAGCGTAATATATGGAATTAACATGTGTTTTATTTTTACTACATCAATTATGTTTTTTTTTTAATTAGTGCGTTATAATAACATAGCAACAGTTAAAGCTGGAGTAGATTTATTTTTAAATTATGCTATGAAACATGACGAAAAGGTTACTATCGATGAAAACCAGTGGATTATAAAATTTCGTCACGTCGGTGGTACGAACAGAACGTTATTATAAGTTAGTATATCTGGAGTGGTCGACTGGTTGTTTGATCAAGTGTTAGCTTATCAACACAGAGCGAGCAGTGTTCGTATCAACGGGCCCTTGTGACTCCCTGACAACTCCACCGGATGTGGCTCGTATTCAAATTATACAAGGCGCGAATCACGATCAATGCTTTAATTTATAAAGTAGTCCGCAAAGACCTTTTATCTCATTTACCAAACTCGATGTAGTTTATTTACGAAACAGTGACCTCATTAATAAGTATGTGCGAATATAGTTTACATAGAATATTGAAATATTAGTATGCAGTTTTGCAGGAGCCACAATCGCGAAAACTATCAAAAAATTTTTAAAGGATGATTTAGTTAATTAGAATTTTAAAATAAACAGTGGCTTAAACGCCATCACTTTTAAAATTCATTAATTAATAATCAAATCTGAATGTATATTTTAAGATTGTCTAAAAGTGTTTATTTTTATTTCCATTTCCATTCCCATTTCATGGTTTTTGGTTCTCATTGTCCAAAAGAATAATCGAGGAGAACGCCATCTAGCTGAATGTACTTGAACCGGTTGCGAGAAATTAAATAGGGATGTGCCCAGGGAAAACCTATGTTATTAATACATTTTAACTGGCTTTCAAAAAAGAAATAGAAATTTACTCATAAAAGAGGTTTAGGCTAAGCGCCATCTGCGCTCGGCCACCTCAATCCCGGTGAATCTGTAAAAGCCTCTTCAAGGCAAACAGTGACAATTCAGTCACAAAAAAAAGAAATAGAAGTTAAAAATAATGCAATAATAGCCAAGTTCTCTACATCGATAGTGTTACTCGATAATTTGAATTAATCTACCAAATTATACAGGTAAGTACATTTCATGAAATTAATGTAATTTGATGAAAATGTAGGATTTATTCATCGAAGTAATTTTACGTAATAACTGTATCCACTTGTACTGCACATCACATCACTAAACTGTTTTTTATTTTATTTTAAAAGAATGACGTTCTCCTTTCCCGCCACCCGCTTCGCCCTCGTATGTGTAAATAAAATTAAATCTTTTTTGTTTTTAAATTGTTCCTTATTGTAATCTAAATATTTTATGAAACTGATGAAACGGAGCGTTATCAGTACGTAAGTTATTAAAACAGTAGAGTTGACGACGACCGCTGGATTTGTATAATTTTATCATTTGAAGGTCAGGACTCCACATTTGTATTTTAATCAGTTCAGTCGGCTTGCCCCCACACCCACCTGCCGTCTGATGTTTAGTTTTTGTGCTCACAAAATTATTAAAAATATATAATCATGGCTTCGACAATGTTAAAAGTATTTAGAAATGAAGTAAGTTTTAGTGATTTGTGCGATATTATTATATCTTTATAGATTTAATGTACTTTCGGCCATAAAATTTCGTGCTGTTTTCACCAAACCGGTTGCGATATACTTTGGAATCGTTTCGCGACAAACAACCGACGATTTAAATCATTCGAGTATTTTATTTAGACCATTTACATTATTCATAATGGCCCGGTGGATTGTTGATGCGTAGTAGAATATTTGCTTCATCTAGTTTCGTCATATCCCATCAATAATTCACATGGCCCATTTGCAATGGTCCTTCACTCATGTTTGTATTTCATACTCTAGTGTAGCATTAATTGCATATTTTCCTCCTTTTTCCTTAATTTTCATGTAATTTTACATAACTACTTTTGTAAAATAATACTTTAACCGTGTCATATATCTAATTAATTATGTATATAGCTCTATATAAATAATTAAATTATGTTTTCAGTCTCGCTTAATTCTCAATAGAAGTTACAGCAGTGCTGCACCCAGTACAAAATTATTCATCGACGGACAATTTGTTGAATCCAAGACTACCAATTGGATTGAGCTAACAAACCCTGCAACTAATGAAGTTATAGGCAGGTAAGATATAAACAATTTAAAATGTTACAGTCTTACAATCACACAACAATTAGCAGTTTAATAGTTTATGTAATACTCATGTACAATGTACCTGTAGTGTTGTTATTTCAATTACAGAAATAGTCTACAGTTAACTTAAATTTTGATGAATATATTTCATACTTTCCTTTCTATACATTCCTATTGTAAAAAGTTTCATTATGCTTTTCTTCCAACATTTACTGAATTTTATTGATTTAAGACATATCATCTACTTGCCCTTATACCATATGGAGGATCTGCACAATATGTGCTGCTCTTCCATGCATCTTTATCAGCCTTCATATCTGAAGCCACTCCTTTCACACAATCCATCCATACTTTCTTCGGTCTTTCTCTACCTTTGTAGCCATCCACATTCAATCTTAAGACAATTCATTTAAGACACAAGATGTACAAATGATTATTATTTTAGAGTTTTTATAATAAAAGGTTGCAAATAAGCAAGCCACTTGAATTTTCCAAAATAGTGAAGTGACTGACTATATCATTAATAAAAAAATATAATCATCAGAGAAAGAGACACACAGCAGGAGAGTATTTCCTCTTTCTAATTGTCCCTCCTCAAACAGATATAGATCCCTTTCCTATAAGAAAATGGATAAAAGGGGAGGAACACTTAAATTATGCCCCTGACTGCCAACATTACCCTTTTATGTAATGATGAAAAAATCTTGAATATTTTATACATAGTTATCATTATTGATAAGAGCGTCGGTGGCTCAGTGGTTTGAACACTTGACTTGTAATCTACAGGTCTTGGGTTCGAATCCCGCCATGTACCAATGTGATTTTCGATTTTTCGAATTTTCATATGTACATAATTTACCCGACGTTCTTACGGTGAAGGAAAACATCGTGATGCAACCTGCACATATCGGCGAAGAAATTCAAAGATATGTGTGAAGTCAACCAACCCTCACTTGGCCAGCGTGGTTGACTATGGCCTAGTCACCCCATATTAGGGTAGGCTCCGAGCCCCTCGGTGGGGACGTATAGTGAGCTGGTGATGATATAATTATTGATAAAGCATTTATTATTAAGAGGAAACCACTTTTTCGACATTGACTAGCAAGTGTTATCTATTATTTTAATTGGTCCTATGAGTTTTATCAGCTTATCTTTTTATTGTAAGAACTATGTACATCTCATGACAATCTACGTATTTCAGCAAACATAGGCCTATATCTGTACCTACCAATATAAGGAGATTTATATGTAAGGAATTAACTCAAAAACTACTAGACTGAATTCAAAAATTATTTTGCTATCAAAACTACACTATCACCAGTAACTTATTATTTAAACAACATTTTTTTATACCTTGCATACAAATCGAATGTTACAAGGAGAATATTGGTTATGAGTATGGAAGGGTACACCGGTAGAAGTAGACCTAGAAAGAGATGGATGGATTGTGTGAAAGGTGACATGATCAAAAAGGGAGTGATGACTGAGATGGCATATGATAGAGTTGTGGAGGACAAAAACCGTTTGTGCTGACCCTATGGCAGTAGGGTAAGGAGAGAGATGATGATAATTATACTGTATATTCTATTACATTACAGGGTACCGGAAACAACTAAAGAAGAATTGAACACAGCACTTGAGGCAGCTAAGAAGGCATACAAGTCATGGAGTCAAAGCACTGTTATGACTCGCCAGCAACTTATGTTCAAGTTAGTATTATATTTTACTATACAAATAGAATGTTCAGATAGATGGTTGTTATAGTTTTTACCTTAAACAGTAACCGAAGTTGATTAAATTTGGCATAGATGTAGAGGATAGTTTTTTATACTATAAGGTAGCAAATGAGCAAGCAGCCATCTGAATCCATTGAAATGGAAATCGACTGCTACCCATAAACATCCGCAATTGCAGTTGCGTTGCCTACCCTTGATTGGCGGAGGAGTAGACGGACGTAAAGAGGACATTTCCCCTTCCTATGCGTCTCCTCCACTGTCAAATCCACTATCCTTTCCTCTGAAGAAAAGTGAGGACAGGGACTAAAATTAGGCCTTCGGCACCACCCTCATCTGGCGAAACGCAGAATTGCTTCCACTTCACGCCTGTTTTCTGTGTGGTCGTGGTATTACACAGGCCGAGCTGGCCCATTCTTGCAAAGATTGTTAGATAGTCTGTAAAAATATATAGACTTCTTACTTTGTGACCGACATCCCAAAAGAAGGAGGTACTCAATTCGTCTGTATGTTTTTTTACTAATTTACACTAATACTTACTGATATTTTTAGGTTTGCAAGATTACTGCGGGAGAATCAAAGCAAATTGGCAGCAAAGATCACGGAAGAGCAAGGAAAGACGATAGCTGATGCTGAAGGAGATGTCCTCAGAGGCATTCGTAAGTAATATTTATCACAAATCAACTTGTGCAATTTAAAGAAATCTCTTAAGGGATACTCCTGCTTCCACTTGCCAAATTTTTTTTGATTTTTATAGTAACTAATTACTTTTTTACTTAATGTTTTTAATTTTTTTTTAACTTTAGTTTTACTTTGTTTTAGTTAATCAATATGATTGTCGCATAGATTCTTCCTTATTAAGCAATAAGACTCATATTATTTTATTTTATTTATCTCTTAAGGGATCTAATAAGATGTAACTCTTTTCTTTGCTGTGTTCCAAATGCATGACATAACTGTTATCAAGTATTTTTCAGCAAAACATTGATTACGAAAATGTTATCAGTATTGATATGGTTTGATATAATGTGAATCACATTTTGTTAATGTAGTTAATATATTAATCTCCAATGACTTTGATTTTAATTTTAAGCAGTTCACAATTGAATAATTTTCAATTTTAATATGTATAGAAATTAAATCAAACAAAAATATCCATTTATTTAATAACTCTGTTTACCCCAATATCGTAATAACTTAAAAGTTTTAATTATCGAATAGTTTACAGTTCTTTTAACTTCATATGTAACTAATCTTATTAACATGAATTGGATACAAAGTTCATTATGTAAATAATAGGAATGACATTACTGTTTTATTGAATACATTTTACTAAAGTTATTTAACAAGTGACCTGCCTGTTATTGGATACTTTGTATTGTTAGGAATAAAATTAGTACCGTGCTATAGAATAGGCGCAACTCTAGATTATCGGCATAAACGTCACGTCCCTAGCTGACAGCTGTCAATGTCACTAGAAGTATGGATAGATTGGCGCGCAACTTTAGTCTTTTTTTTATTTTTATGGGCGGCCCCATGCCGCCCTCTTGTACCCCTGACATGTATGATCAGGGATTTTGGGTACATTTATAAAAACAATATATAAAATTTACAATATTACTTACAAGCTAATATCACATTTAAATTACTCTAATATCACAAAGTTTCTAATACTATGTTAAAATACTACAAACTTCGTTTTATTTCTATTTATAACTATTTTGGCCACGGATTTACAAAACTCTATAAAAAATTATCTCTTTGCCTTATTGCTAATTAAATCTACTAAATTTTTTTTATCAATTTTCATTTTTACCTTGCTTTCGATTTCTACTCTACGGGCCTCAAAAACTGGGCATTCCGGCAATGATGTGCAGCACGGATTCACCCCCTGCTGAGTCGCAGATGCAGGAGGGGTTCTCCTTGCACTTGAACCGATTCAAATATTCGGAGAACCCCCCGTGCCCAGTTAACACCTGAACCAAAACGGGATCCAACTCAATCCTTCGCAGTGTAGGGTAGGCGCTCACGGCGTCGGGGAAGAAGAGCTTCGTTGTAGAGGCCGTGACTCCTTCCACATAGCGCCTGTTCCATCTGTCAAGCGTATCCAGACGAATCTGTCGCTTGACATATGAAACAGGGCGCAACTTTAGTCTTGACGAGAAGTGTTGCTCTGAGTTTAAAGCGACAGTATCAATTAAATAAGTTGTCTAATAGTATATGTATAGATACTCAAGGATATCTGATCCGATGGGCATAAAATAAACTAAATGATGTCTGATAATATCAAAACAATGTCAATATTTGACTGTAACTTGTTATTTAATTTTTTTATCATACTAATATTATAAATGCGTAAGTTTAGATTTTTTTTATTTTATTTAGTAACGATAATATAGCATCTTTACAGAATAAATCTAATGTGACTATATCTATGTAATACCACTATATCTATGTATACATAATATTACAGAACATAGTTGAAATGCAATAAAAACTAATAATGAAGAAGAAAAAAAAACAAATTATGTACAGAAATCAAAAGATCAAAGATGGATGGATGGATGTTTGTTAGAGTCTGTAGCCTAAACGGATGAACAGATTTCGATGAAATTTGGTATAAATGTAGAGAATAGTCTGGAAGAACACATAGGCTAATTACTTTTGTTTTTTTTTTAACTCCACGCGGAAAGAGTCGCGGGCGAAAGCTCCTAAGGAAATATTTGAGCAAAATTTTGCCCATTTATTTCCTTCCATATGAAAATAACATATTAATATTTTTTTTGTGTTTCGTTAGTGCATAATATCTATTTGTTGCAGAATTGGTGGAGCACTGTTGCAGTATAACATCGCTGCAGCTCGGAGCCTGCATACAGAATATTGCTAAAGACATGGACACTCACAGTTATAAGGTGCCGCTAGGAGTTGTTGGAGGTAAGATATTAATAATCTTACTAATATTATAAATGCGAAAGTTTAAATGATTGGATGGATATTTGTTAGAGATTGTAGGCTAAACGGCTGAACGGATCTTGGTGATATTTGGCATAGATGTAGAGAATGGTCTGGAAGAACACAAAGGCTAATTAGTTATTTTTTATTTCCGCGCGGACGGAGTCGCGGGAGAAAGCTAGTATTTTATATGTATATTCTGCTAAAACGATACAAATGTAAGGAAATATTTTGTCATATGATAAATGGTAACTTAATACTAAAAGTGGTCAACAAAACACCAGTTGTCTATTAAAATTTACAGTCAATTTATCTGAACTATATTAGCCTACCTTTACAATATTAGCTTTTGCCCGTGATTATGCCCATGTGGAATTAAAACAATAAAATCCTAGTAAAAACTTTAGCCATGTTACTCAGTGATAATCTACATTATTTTTTCTATCTACAAAATTTTTAATTAAAAAATAATTTTTGTTATACATCCAGAAAGTTTTGATTTTATTACTCTACAAATAAATAAATCTTTCATCTTTTTAATATTAAATTAAATTAATACTAGCTGTTGCTCGCAACTTCGCCCGCGTGATATTAAAATATATAGCCTATGTTATACACAGATAAATTACCTTTTTAATGGTGAAAGAATTTTTAAAATCGGCCCAGTAGCTTTCGAGTTATTTCATTACATACAAAAATACAAATCTTTCCTCTTTATTATACTAGTATAAATAAGCTTTGATTTAGTATGTGAAATCAATACTGAGGATAATCCTTAGTGTAGATGTCACTAATATCTGTTTATTGTTAGGTGTTGCCGCATTCAACTTCCCGGTGATGATTCCGCTGTGGATGTTCCCTCCTGCGCTGGTGACAGGCAACACTTGCCTGTTGAAGCCCTCCGAGCAGGACCCTGGTGCAACCCTCATGATGATGGAGCTGCTGCAGGAGGCTGGTGCACCGCCAGGAGTTGTTAATGTTAGTTAAATTAATAAAACAACATTGTTTGTAAATTTACAAAATACTAATAATATTGACTAGTTTTATAATGAACTAGCTGATCCCATGTGGCTTCATTCACTTTAATTGTTAAAACTTTATTTTATTGTTTACAGTTTTGAAATTTTCTGTTCAAATGCACAAATGACAAAAAAGGCCTTTGACATTGGATAACAATTACTATTACCGTGGCAACCGTGTTTTTGTTGTGTTATCAGCTTGTAGTTTTGTCTCTTTCTCGCACGATTTTTTCCAATTTATTTCCTCCCTAATTATAAAGCGTGTCCTAAGTGTAGGGTTTTTTTTTTTAAATAAAGGATTATATAAATTAATACTGCGATTGCTGACATCTTACGCAACAAAGTAGTGTGTTAACACTATATTATATTAGTATAGATGTATAGATAGAAAAATACTGTTTTTTAACATGGAAAATTATAAATAATATTTTCAGGTTATCCACGGCACCCATGACCCGGTAAACTTCATCTGTGACCACCCTGACATCAAGGCTGTCTCCTTTGTGGGTGGAGACGGAGCTGGCAAACATATCTACACCAGAGCCTCCGCTGCTGGTAAGTTAATATATTTACTCTGTCCCCATGGAATTAATTGAAAACAAAACTGAGTAACTTATGAGCTCTTCCAGACTATCCTCTATGTCTATGTCAAATTTAACCGAGATCCGTTCAGCTGTTTAGGCTACAAACTCTAACAAACATCCATCCATCTAAACTTTTGCATTTATAATATTACTATTACATTTATTACATACTGTTTGTAATGCGAAAGTTTAGATGGATGGATGGATGGATGTTTGTTAGAGTTTGTAGCCGAAACGGCTTAACGGTTTTTAATAAAATCTGGCATAAATGTAGAGAAGAAGAGCCTGGAAGAACACATAGGCTACTTGCATTTTTTTTTAATTCCGTGCGGACAGAGTTGCGGGCGAAAGCTAATAATCTTATATTAGCAGCATAAGATCATCTCTGGGTCCTACAAGTTACACCTAAAATTGCATTCTGCACAACTCCCATATAGTTATAGGAAAACTAAAACTTTTTAATTATGTAAATGACAAAAAACATAATATCTATGTTATTAATATAATTGAATGTGTTAGGTAAGCGTGTGCAGAGCAACATGGGCGCTAAGAACCACGGCGTCATTCTGCCGGACGCCAACAAGGAGCACACGCTCAACCAGCTGGCGGGCGCCGCCTTCGGCGCAGCGGGACAGCGCTGTATGGCGCTCAGCACCGCCGTCTTTGTCGGTAAGTACTATCAGGGAAATTGTCGGTGGCAATTAACTGGCAGTGTGTATAAAAAATTTATGTCTGGCCCCATTTGTTCAACTGTAACTGGCCAAATATGAACCGGTGATAAGTACCGCCGGGAAATCTGCCGGTGTTACAAGACTGTAGTTGCTTATATGTATCGAGAAGACTCATTCATAGATCTAATCTTAATAGTTATTGCGAGTTTACATAGTTATTTGCATTTTATCCTAATTACTCCTTGTTTTTTTTATTTATTATTTAGTTGTCTGTATAAAGTTGCAACGCGTACACACCATGTTATTTATGAGATACAGGATACAGTGAAATATAGTGTAATAATATTGTATTTTTTTTAAATTAACATTAAAAAAATACAAGTAACCAATAGCACACAACTTTCTAATATGCCTCTGTACAAAAAAAGGTGGCTAATTGCTTTCACTATTATGTCATTTGGACAACTAACTGCTACTTGATTGGTTATTTGTAAGTAGTGGCTGAGTTATTCTATGTTAGTCCAAGACAATTTTTCTGCAACATACACACCGCGAATTTACGCGACTGTATTTGATTCTCACAGTTTTGTTAATGCATAGATTTTATTTTTCAGGTGAAGCTAAGGAATGGATACCAGATCTGGTGAACCGTGCCCAGGGTCTGAAGGTGAACGCAGGCCACGTGCCCGGCACTGACGTAGGACCTGTCATCTCCGCTAAGGCTAAGGAACGCATCAATAGACTCGTCGAATCAGGTATAACCAATAACATTCTTTTGTCATTAAAATTGCACCTCTATAGTGGATTTTAAGTTATAAGAAATCACAATGCATTCGATTTTTTCCTTTTATATTATAAGGAGGCCGACGAGCAAGCGTCTGAATTCGCCAAGATAGCGAAATTGTAGACATTCGCCACTGTAGATGACACATTTTAGGGACACAGAAATATATTTTCCTTTTTGTACCACATAGACTTTCCCTTTCCACCATTTTCTTATAAAAAAAATGGTAAGGAGGGAAAGTAGATTAAAGTTAGGTCTCCAGCTCTCATACTTATTAAATGTGTTACAAAAATCATTAAGTTTTTGATTTTAAACAATTTTAGAAAAGGAACTTTTATTCTCGTAACATACAAAAATTTAGTATCATAATAAAAACATTTTTTTTCACAGGAGTCAAAGATGGCGCTAAACTTGTTCTCGATGGTCGCGGTGTTAAAGTTTCGGGCTTCGAAAAGGGCAACTTTGTAGGACCTACCATCCTTACTGACGTCAAACCTAACATGGAATGCTATAAAGAAGAAATATTCGGCCCTGTATTAATTTGTTTGTTTGTCGATACTTTAGATGAGGCAATACAAATGATTAACTCAAACCCATACGGTAATGGTACAGCTATCTTTACAACCAATGGTGCAGCAGCTAGGAAATTCTCTGCGGAAATCGATGTAGGCCAAGTTGGAGTTAACGTACCAATTCCCGTACCGCTTTCGATGTTCTCCTTTACTGGTACAAGAGGCAGTTTTCTCGGTACGAACCACTTTTGTGGAAAACAAGGTATTGATTTCTATACAGAATTGAAGACAGTCGTTTCCTTCTGGAGGCAAAGTGACGTGTCTCATACAAAAGCGGCTGTTTCTATGCCAACACAACAGTAAAGCTTTTAACAAAAATCTGGCAATTTCTAAGTCTTTTTGAGCTGTGTTTAAAATATTTAAAGGGGATCGAAATGTCTTATCAAACTAATTGTAAGGATAAATGTTTTATAGCATTTATTTATGAACAAAACATTCTTATGTCTTCCATTGTGTGATTCGTGTTTAGCATCTGTTGTTATTTATATTTATATTTCAAAGTGTCATATTTTAATAAAAACATAATTTATTTTTACTGCTTTATTTTTTTAAATAACTTTTTTTATCCCTTTTGTGTAACATTATAAAGGTTACACAGGAAAACTTCTGAAAAGGAAAGAGGTGAAGAAGGTTTGATGGAGTAAGGGATAGATGATAAACACGTCAAAATAGTGTAGCCAAAGGCTAGATCTTGCACTATGCAAGAACTATTAGTAAATTAACAAAATAAAGTCAGATTAGTAATAAATGTTTTCCTTTATTCTTTACTACATTTTTAATACAAAATTGTACATTGTGTGTGTGTAAAATTGCTTTAAAGATGAAAGTTATACGACGTTGATATTTACACGATTATCCGATTTTCTTCAGTTTTATGGGATTACAAAGATATAAGTGCGGCAGCGATCACACCTGTATACTGGTGCTAGTCCCTTGCCCTAGTTTGATTAAGGTACAGGTAATTATTACGTCGTCCGTAAAAATAATAACAAAACAAATCTCAATTAAACAAGATGTATGGTGCGTTAATATTTTTATGATAATTAAAATTATTTTTTTAAAGCGATAAAATAAAACGGAACAAGCGTTTGTGACAGTTTCCTAACCTTACTGTACTGTCAATACTAGTTGTCACTGTCATTTGTTTGCTAAACAATAACAAAATAGCTTTGCAACCAGTTTAGCGAATAAAAATAAATAATGGCGCAGTCTATCAATGAATTTCGCGGCGATTCGTCACATCAATTTGTATACACGAAAGGAAACAATTTAACAATGTTTTATAAACAAACAATTGTTTGCAGCCTATGTAGATACATTCTATGATCAAATTCCATGACATCATAAACAACTCTAATGTGAACTTCCTGAGTCTCCTATTACTTCGCGGGGGACATCCATGAAGTAAACACGTCTCGCGATGCATAGCATTAAATTACTGGCGATATTTTCGTTAATATTGACTGAGTGCTATAGTTTAACACCTCAGTGCAGAAATGAAAGGGGAGAACCAGTTGATTGGTAAGTTATTTTTCATTATTGAATATTTTATTCAGTAATATGAAGAGTTAACAAAGAAACAAAACTTATTAAAATGATTCATCCAAGTTACTTGCATAGTAAGATAAAACCCTTTAATTTATGACAAAGGGATTCATTATTCTTAAAGCTAAATGACTCGGACTATTACTTATTAATTGCAATAATAATATAAAATTTAGTAAAAGAAGTGATACAATTACTACAAAAATAATTATACACTACACACCTAATATTGAAATAAAATTGATTGTAAAAAAAAATTATATGTTATATATACAGTAATTTTAACAATACATATGTAAATTAAAAATAAATTAATTTCAAATGTGAACTACATTAAATTATAGTTTTACTAATATTCAATGACACATATTGTTCAAAGTAATTGTTATTTATGAATTTATAAGAAGATTCAAATTATTGTACAGTTAACTAATCAAGTGGAGAAATTGTTAATAATTTTATAATACTCTAGGTTTTATGTGTACAAGTTGCCACGGGAGAAGAATCACTTGAACCCGTTAGTGCGGAGAGGTGTAGCATACATGTACTTAACTCCATCTAAGTTAAGAGGAGGATGGATCATGTCAGATCTAGCTATAAGTGATTCCCGATCTATGGTTGGGAAGACTTTGATGCCTCTATATCAAGTAAGAAACATTTTCTCATAGTATTTTTACTCTTACCTTCATCAAATTTATTTAAAAGGTATAAGGTTTGAATCTTTATTCTCAAAAATACATTTTAACAAAGTCATTTACATGAGAATATTATTGCACTTATTACATAGCTAGTTGTCAATATTATTTCATGTATTTTACACAATTTATGAAAACATGTTGCGATACAATGATTTAAATATATTAAATGAGTTCACATTTTTGATGGAAGACGGTAACTTGTAAAGTTGTGCTGCTTTGAAAGTAATGTCTTTTATTCTATAGTTTTTTTTACAGACTCTTAGTGTGTTTCTCATACATAGTTTGTGCTAAGGATTTACATTATAACTATTAAATGACTATGAGTGTGGCAAAGTCATTATTAATATGAATTATTGAATACTATCTTTCGCCCGCGATTCCGTCCGCGTTTGGAATTAAAGAAAAAAAACAAAATTAGTAGCCTATGTTCTTCCAGACTATCCTCTACATCTATACCAAGTTTCATCGAGATCTGTTCAGCAGTTTAGGCTACAAACTCAAACAAACATCCATTCATCTAAACTTTCGCATTTATAATATTACCATGATTGTTGATTAACAATTAATTTCCATTATATTTGTCCTTCTAAGCTTTCCATATTCACATTTCAGGATAGGAATATAATATCTTTGGTGTACAATGATCAGCCCCCAGCTACAGAGCACCAGCCGGATATACTCCAGTCTGTTGCTGAGATGTACTCTAAAAGTAAAAGAGGTATGTAATTTAAAAGGAAATGCTATTGATCCATTTGCACAGATTACATTTCAATAAATTGCTGTAGAAGGGAATGGGTTATAGTTCAGTGAATTTATACATTTTTGTTTGGTTATAAACTTCGTGCTTTCCACTCTGATTTTTGTAATTTGACACCTATAAATAATTAAACCAAAAAAATATTAAATTGAGAAGCAAAAGGTTAGCGTTGTATGGACATGTTATGCGACGAAACGATAGGGACATAAACCAGTAAGTGTTTAGCTTGAATGTGGTTGGCTACAAAGGAAGAGGAAGACCGAAGAAAGTATGGATGAATTGTGTGAAAGAGAATATGCTTAAGAAAGGAGTGGATTCAGATATGATGGCTGATGGAGATGTATGGAAGAGCAGCACATACTGTGCCGACCCTCCTTAAAAGGATAAGGGCAAGTGAAAGATGAAATAATTAAAGCAAAAATTATTTAAATTACAATTCATTAGAAAGCCAAATGAAATGCCTTTTTAATGATATGCTTCATCCATATGTCTAAATTTTACTTATATTAAAATTAAATAAATTTTTAAAGGTCAAATGAATCAAGCTGGTGTTAAAAAGTTCAAGAAATTCAAACTAGGCGATAAATATTACGATGATTATGATTTAGCGGAAATGTGTAAGATGCATTCAAAGTTTATGAAATCACGAGTTGAGAGCGGACACACTAAGGGAGTGATATTAGGGGATAAGTTTACTGCACTCTGGTTGGTGCATTCTGTACCCAGATTTCCACCATTACCTGATAGTAAGTTATTTTTTCTAATACCTGTATCTCTATATGTCTTATAGTGAAATTTCATTGAATAATTCAATATTAAAGCCATCAAAATGTCAGTTATGATGCTTATGGTAGTAAATTTGTTTGTATTTTCCGCAAGTTCTATATTTAAAATTAATTTTCCTGTTAACTATCCAGCCATTTTGGTACAAATCTTAATTATTTCAGTTATTCCCCTAAATAATTTTAAAACAATATAATAATATTGAGGTCCTATTCCATTTACATATGTATTACAGTAGAACCTCGATAAGTTAAAGTCCAAGGGAAACACAAAATACTTTAAGTTATAGAGGTTTTAGGTCATCAAGGGTCTATGTTGTAGAGGTTTTGGGCTCTGATGGGAAGGGAACATATTTTTTGAAGTAACCGAGGTTTGAGTTATCAAGGTTCTACTGTGTTTGTGAAGTTTCAAATTTGATTAAAATGCCCAATGTCTAATCTTACTACATTTTAATAAATTACAATTTAATAAAATATAATTTGATAAACGAGAATTTATTAAAATCTAAGAATATTTATTTGGATTTTATTAAAAATTCAGATAATCATAATAAATAGATTTCCCTTTATCTTTAATTTTTTCTTTCTTTCAGTTCATGGTCTTAACGTTTCTTCATATAATTATCCAACAACGGGGACGAAGTATGGACAATCATTTCTATGTGTTTCTGTTCAAACTTCAACGTTAAATCAGATTGCAACCCAACTAAAATACAATGAACCCCTGATCGTGTACTACCATATGCCTCCGGACTTCGACAGTGAACTCCCGAATTTAGTCGATGTTGTTCATAATAAAACGATTGACGCATCACCTTGGTGAGTAACAAGGATTGTTTATATTACGTAAATCAAAACGTTATTTAATTATTAGCGGACATCTGTTTTGGAATATTATCGGAATTATATTAATATCGTATGTTTGTTATATTTCTCGGCCCTTACCGTTTCCCTGTTACTTGTTTTCTAGAATATTATGGAAATATATCTAGATTGAAATAGCATCTGAAAATATATAACTATCTCGCTAGAATTACTATAATATTGAATTTTTAAAATTTCCAATTTGAATGATGAACCGTGACTACTAACATTATACTTTTATGACAATACTAGCTTTCACCTGCGTCTCCGTCCGCATGAAATAAGAAAAAAACAAAAATTAGTAGCCTATTTGTTCTTCCAGACTATCCTCTACATCTGTGCTAAATTTCATCAAGAACCGTTTAGTACTTTAGGCTACAAATTCTAATAAACATCCATCCAATTTTCACATTTATAATATTAGTAAGAAACATTGAAATATTTCCTCTCCATTTTCTCCCATATCACGTCCCCTTCCTATCATTTAATATAAAATTTATTTTCTAGAAAGCTTTATTTTCTTGTTCCAGGTACCACATAGAAAGTTTCGAGACCCTCGTGGGTCGTAAGTTCCTGTCTTTCGCGAAGAGTGCGATGTTCAACGACGACCTGTACAGCGGGCTGGTGGCCGAGGTGCTGCAGTCGGACCTGCTGGTGGAGTCCTGGACCAACGGCCCCGGCACACTCGACTCGGAGTGCACGAGGAACTTCCAGTGAGTATACTAAGGGGAGATTCAATAATGTGTTTGAAAACTACTGATTTTAGAATGTAGCATCATTATTAGGAGGCTTTACCTACTTAACATGTCTATTTGCTTTATTACATTATTATTGTATATAGACAATAATAATATAATAAAGCGCAAACACACTTATTTGTTATGTAGGATCTTAGCAATCACAACATGATTTTCAAAAATTCTTTTCTTTACTAAAAAGCCTTATATTAATTGCATTCTATAGGCTTTTCACCCTATTTAATTTAGGGCCTGAATAGTTTGAAAAAACAGTTAGACGTAAAATGCTGAATCATGCGGATGAAACTGTATGGAAACAACTAGTCTAATATAAAAAGTTTCCATGGATGGATGGATGTTTGTTAGAAGGTATCATTAGAACGGCTCAGCGGATCTCGTTGAAATTGAACATAGTGTAAAAGTTTTTTAATCCCGCTCAGACGGGGTGTGTGGCAAGTCTGTGGCATGCTGTGGCAAGTCTGTGGCAAGTCAGTGGCAAGTTTGTGGCTAGTAATAAATTATCCACATATTGAAATCGAATTTTGAGTAGGCATTTAAAGCAGCATTTTAGCAGGTAAGGTCGTTTATTTAGGATTGATTGTATATTTGTATAGAGTGCGTAACATCGAGCGGCTGAAGTTCCCCATCGCGAAGATGTCGTTCACTTCCCACAACGACCACTCGAAGTGGGCGGTGGCGGTCGCGCACAAGATGCACAACAGCCAGGATACTAAAGTCGCCGACTACTGGGTCTGCGTCGGCGACATCAACAGAGCGGTAAGTCCTCATCGATATCTTATTACCTCCTTTTCAGGTTCATTATCTCCTCATATGTCAGCTATATCATTACATTGGATTTCTAGTGACCATCGATATTTACACAAAGTTATAAATGTCTTTGTATAAACAGAAAACTGAGGAATTAAGCCTACAATCTTAGGAAACCAAATTACTTCTAGAAAAATGGTGTAAAGTTATTACTTATCCAACTTAGATTTCAAAAAAGGCCTATAAAAGGGACCTTAATGCAGATTTCTCAGTACAGATTTAAACTAAAGGGCTTCATTTATGATGAATTAACAACTTTGTACGTCTCTTAGGGTCCCTTTAGACAAATTGGGGTATAGAGCCGACTAGATTTTATCCATAATTGAAACAAAAATCTGTATAATGTGCAGACTGACATATATTTTCATATTAATTATCGTCCGACTAAACTATCGGCCGATTAAAAGTTTGCAGTGCGCGTGGGCTCTTATAGTGATGTGTTTACAGTTGCCCCAGGAGTCGCGGGGCGGGGGCACGGTGTGCACCTCGGGACCAATCTTGTGGGGCAATTTTGCCCATCTCATCGAGTCCGTGCAGACGTGCAACTAGCGCTAGTGCAAACAAGGACTAAAACGTCTCTTACTAAGTCTCCGTGTAAATATCTATTGTGCCACTTTATTAAGGCGAGGGTTTTCTTCTACCTTGTACTTTGAAGTTTGTTATTTTTGCCCTTTTGGGATATGTCATTAAAGAGTCAAATTTTATCTGTGTAAAAACTAAAAAAGATTTCTACAGTAATAATAAAAACATCAGTTTGTAATAACTTGAGTTTTATATACTAGAATGTATATGGTGTATTTCTTAATACATAAAAAAAAGAATAAAATCTGTATGCGATGTAACCTTTTTAGGAAGTCGGTTAAAAACATAAAATGAACAATTATAATTAAGATATTTATGTACTTACTAGCAGTTGCTGGCGACTTCGCTCGCGTGAAATTAAAATATATAGCCTAAGTTACTCACGGAATTACCTTTCTAACGGTGAAAGAATTTTTAAAATTGTCCCAGTAGTTTTTGAGTTTTAGTTCATACATAAATACAAATCTTTCCTCTTTATAAAGTATAGATTTATAAGACAAATTGTGGTATAGAAATGAAAATCTAGATTTTTTTTATAGAAATTGAAAATGCTCTCGCCTTAAAAGTTTAATATTCTAGTATTAGTACAATACGTTACAAAGTTCGCACGGATAAGTGCCATTGTGTATTTTCCTATTAAATGTATTTTTTAATTAAAACTCGACTTTTCCTTGTATGTGTATAATTTGTAAACTATTTTTTTTTATATATTTTATAGCCTTTTTATTGTAACTTGTAATATAAGGAATGTTGAAAGTGCGATGTATTTTTTTAACAGTTTTGTTTTCAGATGTCACTCATACAAAATACAATTTGAGATTTGAATTTTTGTGTTTTATTTTTAATAATTAAATTAGCCTATGTGTTCTAGATCGCTCTATACTCACACTATAATATGTTAATCCATTCTGGAATTTTCTTAATCCATCCATATTTCTGTAATCTGTACCCAATGAAAATCTGTGAAATAGTATTTCGTATATGTATAAATAAACACGTTTACAATGGGTTTCCACTATTAAAATATGAGAATAACATGGACGACGTTCACATGTTTCGATATAAATAAACCTACCATTGGTTTTATAAACGTAGTATAAAATCATAAGATTTTATTGTACATCGTAAAAATCAACATAAACACAAATATCCAGTAGTCATGTTGCCACTAGCTGTCGATAGCTGCATACTGTTAGTCAATAATGTGTTTAGTTCTGTTGGCGTGTATTGCCATCGTACGTGGATATTCCGTGCCATCGGATCGTGTTAGAGGTTGGAATTATTTAAGTCTTCACTGCAGAGATAACGACAATAGACCAGTTGGATGGTATTTTATTTCTATTTTTGGATTATTGAGTTAATTTTAGTTTATTTAGATGGAATGCTGATATTAAGTGATCGTTACAGAACTTAATGGATAACATTTCTCAAAAATTGTAGTGGCCTTTTTATATAAAATATTAGTAGATTTTTGTTAATTTACTAACTTTTCCTTTAACCGTACCAAATAAGCTTGTGCTAAAATATAGTTCAGGAAAATAGTCGAATGGCGAGATTCAAACCCTCGACCGTTTGGCTTTTAGCATTGAACGTCTTAAGATTGTCAGTTGAAAATATGTAGTATATTTTATACACAGGTGGTACATTTACAAGCCTCCTAGTGACGTTGCGCCGTACTTAGAGTTAGGACGGAACTTCACTTACATTACTTCTTTAAACGCCGGCAGATGGCAGCCTTCTAGCAAATTTATCACTGCCAATTCTATGTTGCAGCACACGATATCTCCTATTTATAGGGTAAGGATTTCAATATGCCAGTATTCTCTCAGATAATAGCAAATCTGCTGAGTCTCCGCAAACTATAGACTTTTAATCGGAAAATAGTTTAATCGGGCATGTGATCAGTATAAAAATGTATGGAGGTGTACACATTACGCAGGTTTAGTTTTTGTTAAAACTATCGACCGATAAAAAGTCTGTATTGTATGGGGCTCTAAACCTTAACACTGACTGCGGATCAAACAAAATCGGCCTAATAATTACCCAAAAAACTAAAAATTATTCCGCGTTTGTGTAGATTTATTTGTAGAACTGTCGCAAAATAAAAAAAAAACTCGTGTTGCATTGTTTATTGTACTGACAGGTCGGAAATGATTGATGCATAAGGTTTATGGATAGATATGAACATCGTCTACCTTAAGTAACGTTGGTTTCAGCCAACGTATACAGATTATCTCGCTGTGGCAGTGTACGAGCCGCGGTCGACGTCTGACGCCCGCGGAGTCCTACTGGCAGATGAAGTCGGCGGTGTCTGGATAGGGCATACCGTGCCCGGCTTGATTGATATGCGGGGTCAGAAAATTGTGATTATAAACAAATACCAAATAATTACGTAAACCCGGCTGACTATGACACTCCAGGGAACATTTTGAAAACAAAACATTTTGAAGACTAAGGTGTTATTCCATACATATGGATACAAACAATGTAAGGCTATAAGACGTCACAAACACCTAACTTTAACCTAAAAACAACTCCAAAATACAGAAGTTAGATCTTAAATTACAATACGGCTGCTACATGCAGTAGCTATAACAAAACATATAGTATTTCATAACCTCTGTACAGATGATCGTCCGACATTCCCGGATAGTGAGAGAGCGAATGGACATCTACTAATGTGTCTGTCTATTGACTTGTTGGCCATCAATGAGATCGCCTCAACACTACAAGTCGCCGCACCCAAGTTCACTTATGTCAAAATACCAAAAAGAATGCGGGAATTGTTGCCTACGTGGAATTTTGAACACGATATGAACTCAAAAGAGTAAGCAATTACTTGTTTAATATGCAAAATTGTATTAACGATATTATGCCATAAATAATACATAAAATTATAATGATTATTTTTTGTAGAAGACACAGAAAAAAAGTGAATTTCTTGACAAATTCTGAGTATTTGAACGTGGAGATGTTAGCGCGTCCTCCCACTAATGAAGAATCTTTGTACGAGGAGTTCGCGGCCTCCAAGGAACTCGTGTTGGACGTGTACAATCCGACTGACGGCGAATATCTATCTTCTGTGTGCGCAAAAAATTTTAGGTTAGTTTACAGCGGACTACTAAAACTAAAAAATATATTTGCATCCTTTTCATCCAAGAATGATGTAGAGGGAATTCATTTAGCGGAGGTTGGTATATAGGTAAAGGGTAATCTTTTTTCTGTGCGTTCTCTTCTCTGATAATCGAAGATATGCAACACATCTGGGAATGCAAGATATATGGGCAACGGTGACGTTGGCGAATTCCGGTGGCGCTTTGCTCGTTTGTCACCTTATACTATAAAAAAAATAATACACTCTGTGACTCTTTCGAGGCTGTAGCTATTTGTTTTCTTATTTCTATAATAATTGTCATACTTAGAAAATGAAATAACTAATATTTCACTTGAATTCCAGTATACGTAACATAAGAACGATATCATTGAAGTTGATGGAATCAGTGCAGTATGTAAGCAACTTAACTGACCGTGCGAGGTTCGCAGTCAGCACGGCCGCGTCCTGGCAGAAAATGAAGTCATCACCGCCTCAGTACTGGACTTGTGTCAGCAATCTGGATAAAGAGGATATGACAGGAAAGGGAGGACTTATAACTTGTGTTGATGATTATTCTGTCTGGTTGACATTTGATAATTTCAAAGTTAAAGAACCAGAATGTTAATGCAAGTAACTATTATAGATGCCGCGTAAATAACAAGAGTTCGCTACTTTTTTAATTTTAGTTTTAATTTGAAAAATCACTGCCGTTACCTGGTAATGTAATTATCCTTAACTGAAAAAGGGACAAACAATGTTATGTTAAAAAAATATTTAAAAATTAAGTACTACATAATACGAGTAATAACGAAATACTTCTTGACAAGAAACAGATTCTGTAAAGAAAACAATAATTTTAAAAAGTATATTTTATTTTTTAATATACAACACAAAAGTTATTTACATATTTATTGTGACATCTTTAAATAACCCCACAATCTGCCAACCTCCCGATTTCTACTAAGTCTATCTTAGTCATGGTTCCTTAGGGTTTCTATATAAAATCGAGTACAAGATACCTCGCCCATAGTCACCAATATCAACCCATTTAAAACATTAGCACAGAGTGCCTCTATTTGCTATCTTTATAAAAAGCAAACAACAAAAATGTTCTCGTTGTTAAATGGCATTTGTCCATCATCATCCTTAAGAATGATCGTAAAGAAAGGTACTATCAAAGTTAAAATCTCATTAAAGCAATTTCCATTATATAAATACTTTTTAATGTTTAAATTAGTAATTTGTTAGTACCTTTTGTGTTTTGGCACAATACCTCCACTGCCCTGTGCCCTCGACTAACAAGGAACCAGTGGGTCGAAAAAGAAACAGAATAAAAAAAGCATTATGAACATAGATTATAGAAAACAATAATAAAATGAGTATATGAATTCAGGTTTGCTAAAAAATCTGGTTTTATGCAACGCCTGGATTTAAATATTAGCAAAGTAAAATAATATTTCTTTGGATAAGTGAACCTAGTTCATTTAATTTTTAACGCTAGTTATGGTTATTTCATATTTAAACTAATTGTCCGATAAAAATAGTGTTTGGATTATATAATTTAGTGTATATTATGTGATGGTATGTGTATTCGACATATTCAATTATGTTTATATACGTTTACAAGGAGAAATTGTCCGTCGTTAAATGAGAGTAAAGTGGGCGCAGCTCTGAGTTTATTTTTCTACGATTTCTTTAAATATTTTCAATAGTTTTTGAATAATAACCCTATTTGATAGTCGTCAAAATGTCCGCCTTTTCTGGCATTAACTTGTATTTAAACTCGCCTTTGCTTTATTGTAATAATTCAGACCAAGTTCACTTACAGTATTACCTTTGTTCAATTACAAAACATTTCAATACGACCCATGTTTTCAATCATGAACCAATTTTAACAACTTCCTAGAAGTTAATTCGTTATCAAAGCTACGCCCTACAAATCAGTTCAGTGTCCGACCCTCAAAGAGGGCATTCTTGTGAACCAGGAGTCGTGTTTGAGTTTCAAGTAGTAGGAGTCCTTGGGCTGCGGCGCCGTGAGTGCGTCCTCTAGCACACGCAGCGCGGCGGCCGGCAGCACGCGCGCGCTGTACTCCGCCGCCTCGCCCGGCATCGTCACCGCGCAACTGCCACCACTTATGTCAGAACCCGGACTGACTGGTCGACTGTAATTAAACCATAATATGACCTTAGTAATTTTGTTGGACCACTGAAAAAATATGAAGGTGGTACAATATTCAGTTCATGCCCATATCAATACTAATATTATAAAGAGGTAAAATTTGTATTTTCGTATGTATTGAAATAACTCATAAACTACTCCACCGATTTTAAAAATTCTTTCCCTGTTAGAAAGGTAATTTATCTGTGAGTAACATAGGCTATACACATTTTTTAATTTCACGTGGACGAAGTCGTGAGCAACAGCCAGTTCATGATAATAAAAAGTATGTTAAGTTTTTGCTTGTATTTATAACGATACTAGCTTTCGCCCGCGGCTTCTTCCGCATGAAATTAAAAAAGTCCGTACCCTAAGTGTTTTTCAAAACCATTCCCTTCATCTATACCAAGTTTCATCGAAATCCGTTAAGCCGTTTATGCTACAAACTCTAACAAACATCTATCTATCTAAACTTTCGCATTTATAACATTAGTATGATTATTTATTTAATTATAATCAGGTAAAACAAGGTTTATGAAACGTCTAATCTAGTTTGCTAACCTTGCCGGCTGGCTGGGCGCACTGAGCTGCGCGGGCGGCGCGTACACTTCAAGTGCTGAGAGGTCCGGCGCATGCAGCAGTACGACCCGCACGCCGCGCGGCCGCAGCGTAGCTCGCAGTGCGCGCGCCGCGCCCCACGTGCCCCAGCGCGCCGCCGCGCACACCGCGCCCGCCTCGCATGCCTCCAGCACGCCTAGCGACTGCGCCAGCTGCCCAGCCTGCCCCGCCCCCGATAAACTCTCACACGCCGTATCCGATGTTAGACCTACAATGTAGAAAGTTGTATTTTAGACTTAAAATATACACAAGCAAGAATCATTAGTATGAAGTTTGAGAGTAGCCGCAGTGATTGAGAAATTAAGGAGTAATCTTATTGTTAGTAGTCTTATTATTATTATTATTATATAGAAAGAGGTGGATACATTGCGTGAAAGGTGACATGATTAAGAAGGGAGTGATGATTGAGATGTAGGAAGATGGAGTTATTTTGAGAACGATTCTACGGGATCTGTGCCGATACTACGAGAGTAGGATAAAGTAGGGGAGATGAAGCATCATACGTTGTGTAGCGATTGTCATAATATCGAAGTTCTAAACATATATTCATAGAAATCAGTCAAACCGATGTAGAAGAGTCGTCCCGCGTGAGGATGGTCGGCGGCGGCGGCGGCGAGTAAGGGCGCGAAGGAGCGCGCGACGCGAAGCGCGCCCAGAACGTTGCCGCGTAGCGCCGCCTCCCAGCGCGCCGCGCCGCGCCCGCCGCAACCCGCCGTGTTAATCACTGCCCACACTCCTGAACAACACAATATAATTTTAACCAATCAGGGTGATTTTTATGTCCATTATAACATCCTTAACATACAATATACCTTAGGGAAAACAATAGTGACAAAAGGATCTTATTTGCGATTGCGAATGACAAGTTAAGTGGACTTTTAAATTTTTATCCTACGTTCGCTTTAATAACAATTATAAATTTTGCTACAGTAACAAGTAGTAACAGTTACAAGAACGTTTAAAATTCTAGATTCATATCTACTTTTCAACAAAGATGCCATCTATGGTCAAAATAGGTCGCTACAAGGAGCTATAAGAATAAAGATTTTCAATCAATAGATGGCGTTAAAGGTAACATTATGAACATTAACAGTTTGAAGGAATAATGTATACAAAATATTTGTATAATAACATAAAAAATTACAAACAATAAATTGAAATCAAATAACATTACCAATTTTAATACAATATACAGAATAGGATAGTGTATTTTCTTCCGTTTTACCAAGCACTGCTGGTGTAGTGGTATCATGCAAGATTCCCATTCTTGCGACCCGGGTTCGATTCCCGGGCAGTGCATTGTTTATTTTTGAAATTTAAATTTAAGATTAATGAATTCGGATTAGGATGCAAATGAGAATTCCAAAAACCCAATAAGATTTCAAACACTTTGAACACGTTTGAAATATTTTTTTTGAATATTTACATGCTTATTGACATACAAATTTTATTACATATAAAACTGTTCTGATCACGCACCATGTTCTCCAGCTGGTAGATGCTGCGCGATGGCCCTCGCCGCCTCTTCAAGCAGGTCTTCGCGGGCTACGTCCAGCTCGAGGGTGGCGAGGCGGGGTGGCTGCTGATCCTCAGGAGTGGCAGCAACGTGCGCCTGCAGCCAGGACTCAGCCAAACGCGCGCCCAACCCACCGCTGCGGCAGCCAGCTATTACACGCCACCCTCGATCGCTTAGATATGTTGCTATCTGGAACACAATGATTGTTAAATAGACTAAGTACCCAGCTTTAAGTAGTACTAGGTGTCGCCCGCGACTCCGTTCGCATGATATTAAAAAAAAAACAAAAGATAGTAGCATATGTGTTCTTCCAGACTCTTCACATGTGCTAAATTTCATCCAGATCCGTTCAGACGTTTAGACTAAACTCTAACAAACTTCCTTTCCACCCATCTTATCCTTCGCCATTAAAATATTAAGTTCGATTAGTAAGGTTATTATTTTCTATCTTGGCGGCTCCTAAACTCATGTAAGGCGCTGCTCAGAGTTGTAACGGAACGTAATGGATCTGAAGGAGGGGACTACGCAGCTTGAAGATGACCTTGGGCCGTAAAGATATTTGAAACGCATAATAGCAGATACGGTAACTTCTTAAAACCATGATAATTTAACCAAATAATTTTCTGTATGAGTTGAGATACACAAGATGTGAATTATACAAGAGATTTTTTGTGTATATCGCTTGATGACTTTCATAATTATACATGCAAATTACAAGGTCGTCGCCTACATTATAATTTATTATTGTATTCTATTATCATTCTATACCATTGTTTCAAAATCGTATTCATATTAAAAAATCAATGCGATGGTTTAGTCTAATAAAATACTAAGAAATATGAAAGGAATTTACACGTTTTTTAATAATTTATTGACGTACATTTGATTCCCAATAACCAAAATAATGGATATTATTTATACAACTAACTTTTGCCCGCGACTCCGTCCACGTGGCGTTAAAAAAAACAAAAGTGAATAGACTATGTGTTCTTCTAGACAATCCTCTACATGTATGCCAAATTTCATCGAAATCCGTTCAGCCGTTTAGGCTACAAACTCTAACAAACATCCGTCCATCCATCTAAACTTTCACATTTATAATATTAGTAAGATAAGATAAGCAATAAAATGAGAAATACGACGCATTTTACACAATATTCAAAGCCACTATTGATAAACTGCACGAAAATAAGGGCTCTGAGTTAATCAGCTTTCAGCCCACGGGCATTAGCTTTGTGATAAACATGAACTGAGAAATAAGCCTTGTATTGTGCTTCTTATCTTTTAATAGAATATTGCGACATTTACAAAGGTCTACGACGATTTTAGTCGCAGAACGATGGATTGCGTGTCTATGAAAATGGATAATGGAGTGTAATAGTGATTAATCTCTTGAATGTTCTCTTACACTTATATTGAAATGAGAAAACTGCCAGTAAACTGTAATTCTTATCCGCTCTGGAGGATCTTAAACGTTAAGGAGTATTTAAGACTATTTTTCTCTCATTTGTATATGCGCTAAATACCTCTTTGTAGCAATTCTATTGTTACGGCAGCGAATCTTGTTTTAGCTTTTGATTGTATGCCTAACAATTTTTGTGCAAAATAGTTTAAATAAAAAAAATACCATATAAAGCGAGAGATACGAATACAAGCTCTCTCACAAAATACTCTTTGAATATATCCTACTTGAACATAATATATATTTACATTAATATAAAAGGGAAAGTACCTGCAAGCCTAGCGCAGTATCGACGGAGGTGACGAGCACCGTTTTTGCGCCATCTGTTGGCAGCACCTCAGCGACGCGAACTTTGCGCAGTAGGTACAGCAGAAGTGCACCCACGATGCAGCATAGAGCAGCTAGCTGCAGTCCCAGGGATAGCCACGTCAGAGGGTCCATGCTTCACTGCGCGAACATCTTCTAGTCTCTGTAATAATGTCTGAGATAAGCAAAGATTGTCCAAAATTACAAAAGAAACATCACTCGAACCTAATAATTTAGAAAATTTATATTCAAAAAATTATATCATACTTCATACTGATATTATAAATGCGAAAGTTTAGATGGATGGATGTTTGTTAGAGTTTATAGCCTTAACAGCTTTACGGATTTCGATGAAATTTGGTATAGATGTAGAGGATAGTCTGGAAAAACACATAGTCTACCCACTTTTGTTTTTTTTAACTCCATGCGGACGGAGTCGCGGACGAAAACTTGTGTTTTATATAACAACGTGGGAGTTGTATATCGTCGTGTCATTGACAGCTTGTCTACAGCGGATGTAGTAGTATTATAACAGTTCAATACGACTGAGTCTTGTTATTGTTTGAACATTGGTTCCGCCGATCTATCCCACACCGTGAACTGGTAGTAAGACAGAGACGGATTAAGATTATAAAATGTGTAAAAACCATGAACAAACACCAGTACTTAATAAGTAAAGACGCTTAATTGGAAATAGCACACGCTCATAGAAGAGAGGTTTATTATTAGTTTTTATTACCGGTATTTAAGATTTCCATTCTTAAATACCGGCAATGCAACTGCAGTTTTACTATTATTGTAATTTTTTATTGAAGGAAAACCTATATTTTTTATTAACTATAATTCCCATGTATCTTTTTTTCTTATTATCACAATAAAGTTTCCTTATCTTTGATTAATTTAATAAAAAATTGTAGATATTTTTCGGAACCTTAGTACGACCCTGTTTAAGATTTACGCGTACAATGCTCAAGGGGCTTGAATAAACGTCTTGTTGAACGTTTAAACAGCTATTATTCTTTAGTCGAACATTCCTGTGTAAATTGTTATACAGAAATATTTCTCAGGTCTCTTACAATTTAAGAAAAAAAGATTGTAGTTCCATGAAATAAAAAAAACGGATATATCAAAAGTGATTAATGTTAACAAAATTACGTTAATTTATGATTTTACGTAACAATACATCATTTCTATTTCCTTGATCTAGCGACAATCTTAAACTTTTTTAAAGCAAACGATTTCTTGAGCACTAATTGCTCCCACACATCTTTATTTATTAATTATACATGATATGTAATTAAGGAGAATGATTTATACTATAGATAGGACATTATTTTAGAAATCTTTATTTTACCTTTGGTTTGATTGTACAATATGAAATACAATCTTGACTATAGTTTAAACAATTATAGTTTCTTCTCTATTTAGACATAACCTTCAAGGACCATAAATGGGTACGGGATCACACAATGCACTTACCAATACCAGAAACACAATAGACGGGTACGTTCCGGGAATCCCCGTGGGTCGTTATTGTCAGCACTAGGGCTGTCAACTTTTAATGTAGACCCGTATGTTAAAGAAAAGAATCGATCGTCCACCCTTGATATTTAGCGGACAAAGGATGGTCACACCCTATAAAGTGGCAACCCTAGTCAGTACATCCGTACTCGTGTATGGAATGTTGAGAAACGTCGATTTGATTTTTCCCATAACATAATCTTGTTTTATGTTTAAAGAGGGTTATTGTTTGTATGAATCGGAATAATATTTGGAAACTTGAGTCCAAAGACTGTTATTTTTATGTAAAGGAACCACTAACGTCTAGATTTTTATTAACATACCAAGTTTTATTGTTATTTTATTGGTTTCTTTACCAAAAGATGAATGTTTTCCATAAAATCGTAGCAGTTTAACAATCACTTTCTCTGGTACATTAATATTATAAGGTAATATGCTTTTGTGTTGTATAATTTAGTTGTAAAGAAGGCATTTCTCTTTTACATGTTAGAGGTCTAAAAATTATTTTTTTTACTTCTATATTATGCAAATTTGTAACAACCTTAAATCTTTTTATAATTATTTCTGTCATGTATTTGCTATTTAAATTTATTCTAAAAGAATCTAACAGTTTTGCTAAAAGCTATAAGGAAGTTATCACTCCATGAAAAAATGCCCCGGTAAAACTTAAGAAAGGAAAGATATGGAAACATTTGCTTTGGTATAATAATAAAAGTCCATCTGTTTGTATTTTGTCACCGACGGCCGGGTCCGGATAGTACAACTAAAGTGAATTCCGGACGGGAGGAAGAATGTTCTTTTCAAAACTATTCCGGTTGTGTAATGTCTCCGCAACTTGATAATGCCATGTTATTTATTGTTATCCCAGGACCAATTAATTTTAACTTTCATGCTTAGAAAAATGTTATGTCGAATAGAGAAAAATTCTTTGCAGATCTGATAAAATTCACAGTCAAAACAGCCACGTTTTTTTGTAAAATCCTTTATTATGAACGCAATAATACTTTTATTGTTTTAGAGTAATCATCCTTTGAACTTTTTAAAATACAACTACTGAAAACAACAATATTAAATTTTTATAATAAAAAAAAACTCTAAGTTATCAATAGATAGTAAGTTAAGAATCAGTTAAGAAATATTGACTTAGAAAACACAAAATGTCGTAATACAAGTGTAAAATTTCGTTTTCAACCTTGTTATTTAAAAGCTCTTGGATTCTGGCACGCGATCTTATTTCTCGGAACACTTCCCCGACAGCTGTTCTGGATTTTTTCATTCCAATTGATATCTCGGAAAGATGTTCGGAATTTATTGCATTCGCAGCCATAACAAAGGATCGATTTATTCATATAACGATACGTCTATGGTACGATTGGAGTTAATTCAATCCGGAGTATTATTTTAAAAAAGATCCCTTTGTCGTCAATCTCCGGTTTCAGAACACTTCCCTGGTTGCCTCAGCCAGTATCGGTATTCTCGGCGTTGACATATCGAGTAACGTTCAGTTTCGCGGTCATCTGGAAGATAAGGCCAAGCTGGCTTCCAAAAAGCTGGGTGTGCTCAGTAGGGCGAAGCAGTATTTCCAGTCGGGCCACCGCCTTCAGCTCTATAAGGCGCAAGTTCGGCCCCACATGGAGTACTGCTCGCACCTCTGGGCGGGAGCACCCCAATACCAGCTTCTTCCATTTGACCGCATACAACGGAGAGCGACTCGAATCGTCAACGACCGAGCTCTTACCGATCGGCTAGATCCTCTGGCCTTGCGGAGGGACGTCAGTTCCCTCTGCATGTTTTACCGCATTTATCACGGGGAGTGTTCCGAGGAGTTGTTTGGAACGATTCCTGCCGCCGAGTTTCGTCATCGGACGACACGACAGACCGCTAGATACCATCCTCACCATCTCGATGGCTGGCATTCCACAACCGTGCGGTTTTCGCGGAACTTCCTGCCCCGCACAGCCGCGTTGTGGAACGGTCTGTCCTCGGCGGTATTTCCAAACCAATACGACTTAGGGTCCTTCAAGAAGCGAGCCTATCATTTCCTCAAAGGCCGGCAACGCATCTGTAGTTCCTCTGGTGTTGCGGATGTCCATGGGCGTCGCTGACCACTTCGGTGTTCTCGCCGCTCGTTTGCCCCCCTTTATTATAAAAAAAAAAAAAAGCTGTTCCCGTGCGGCTTCATCCGCATAAAATTATGAAAATTTTATTGCTTACATGTGTCACATTATCAAAATGAAATGACATGATGACAAACCATGGCAACCTTGCTTCCTTGATGTTGGCAGCAACTTATGGTCTCTTTCCCACATTAGGGTTTTTATCCAAAATATTTACCCCCTAAGGTTAATGGCGTGAAAATATATAGTCTAAAGCGTGACGTAAGTGTAAGGCTTTTTATTTAAAAAAGTATTATTCAAAATATGCTGTAATTGCTGACATCTTAGGCAACAAATAAGTGTGTGTTTACGCTTTATTATAATAGTATAGACTAGCTTCGCCTGTGACTACGTCCGCGTGGAATTAAATAAAACGAAAGTGAGTAGCCTATGTGTTCTTCCAGACTATCCTCTACATCTATACCAAATTTCATCGAAATCAGTTCAGCCGTTTTGGCTACAAACTCTAATAAACAACCATCCATCCATCTAAACTTTCGCATTTATAAAATTAGTATGATATAGAGTATAGATTGAACACTAGTTATAATTTAAAAACATCACTTCGCTAACAGTGGCTACAAAAAGTGTAGATCATTAACTCGAATCATTATCATCACTACAACTATTGTCTACGTGTGGATGAACAAAAACGTGGGAGATTTTTTAACGCCGATAACAAGAGGAAGATCATGGCCGCACGTGAATCATATTAACGCTAAAGTGGGCGATTAGAGATAAGTTAGGTATATTTAAATGTGAAGGACGGTATAAACTTTAAATTGACTATTTTGCAGGTCTTATGATCATCAAACTTGAATATTCTTGTTAAAATTCTTCTGTTTTCCTGAGATATAATGACTAAACCAAGTTGTTATGGTCCACTTACATGTTCATGGTGCCCGCCGTCTACAACCGCCTGGACCACGTCACAGCGGCTACCAGCCTCGCGTCATTTAAAAACAAGATTAAGTCATTGCTAATACAAAAAGCCTTCTATAGTGTCGAAGAATTTTTATTAAAAATGTCTGTAAAGTTTTTTTTATTTTTTAACATTCTGACTTGTAATTTGCTTACCAATAAAATATTTGTATTTGTATTTGTATTTAAAACACCTTTATTGTTTTTATATTACCTAAAGAAATATAATACAAAATTTAATTAATTGCATTCCTGTTATAATAAAATTAATTAAACTCCAACATTTATTGATTAACTGTGTAGTATATAATTACGTTTAAACACATATCTGTAGAGATTTCAACACATTCATGTGAGCAACAGGTGTGGCCAATTAACTTTTTCTACCAGTTAGCATTCACTACACGCGCTGTGCGACTCGTTTACCTTTTCAATGTTGCCGAGAAGTTACTTTTCGGAAAAATTCAGAATTAAGGGCCTGTCCCACCACTAGTTGATAGAGGCTCATATAGCTTAAAAATGACGATAAAAGAATAAAATCCGATATTTCCATCATTTTTTACAC